ATGTGAGATCTTCCCGGACCGGGGCACGAACCCGTGTCCCCTGCATCGGCAGGCGGACTCTCAACCACTGCGCCACCAGGGAAGCCCCTACGATGTGCTTTTTAAATTTACTTTACTGTGAAATATATCATACCCGTGTCTTGCTTTTTTCATTCAATGGTTGCAACAGGACTGATGTGGGTAGTTCTTATTCCATCAGTTTTACTGCTGTATAGCATTTTATTATACCAACACCCCACAATTAATTGTGTTATTTTATTCTATTGATGGGCATCTGGACTGTTATTAATTGATTTCTACTACAAACACTACTGCATAGAACATTCTTATATGTGCCCTGGTGCACATGTGAAAGACTGAAAGACGTTCTTTAGGAAGTTAAACCTAGAGTTGAGATTGTAGGACCGGTGAATATTCAAACTTACTAGGTAGTGGTAAACTGTCTTCTAAGTAGCAGCTCATGAAGGATTTTTTGACAGGAGATCATTACAAACGTATTTTGGGTCCTCATAAAGATTACTGTATGTTGTAGTCAGTCTCTAAGATTTTATGGTTTCAAAATAAAATCCAAATGAGCCTCTTCTTTTGGTATTCACACCCTCGTGTGGTGCTCTCCCACACCGTACCAAGGTTGGTCTTTGTGACCAACAGAGTATGGTAAAAGTGATGGTACGTGTTACAAAAAACTGTAGCTTCTGTTTGTGGCATCCTTTCTCTTTCTGTCTCTTTTGAATCTTTCACTCTGGGGAAAACAGCTGCCGTATTGTGCAGCTCTATGGAGAAGCCCATAAGGTAAGGAACAGAGACTCCAGCCAACAGCCAGTTAGGAACTATAGTCTACCAAAAACCATATGAGTAAGCTTAGAAGTGGATTTTCCAGCCGCTCAGGGCTTGCGATGACTGTAGGTTGATAGCTTGACTAGAATCTCATAGGAGACCCTGAATCAGAATTGCCCAGCTAGGCTGCACCTGGGTATTTGATGCACAGAAATTGTGTGAGATTGTAAATATTTGTTGTCTTAGGCTAAGTTCTGGGGTAATTTATTATTCAGAAAAGGTAACTATACATATTGCATTAAAAGGCAAAAACTTCCAAGTTCCATTAAAGAATTTTTGAAATAAAGCAGGATATTAAAACAAATTTGAAAACAGATAATGAAAAGGTTGGTGCACTAACAAATGTAGATGTTTTTAAGTTGGTTGGTCATGTAAAAAAGCACCTTGAGGGTGGGAAAGCAAGGATAATTTATGATTTATAACCTGCAGAAGCATGTTTACCTGTCTTCAAATTTTTAATTTGATCTGTATTATTAATTATTAGAGTCTTTTAGATGTGTGTATAATGCAAAATATTCATTATAACATAATAGCAAAAGAATAGGCATCATCTAAACATACATAAATAAGAGAATCATTAAGTAAGTAGTATATCCATTCAATAGAGTATTAGAAAGCCGTGAAAAGAAATATATATAAAGTAATGACATACTCCCAACGTAAGTTAAGTGAAAAGGGCAGAATATACCCTACAATCAGTATAAAACCAACTCTACAGGGATTTAAAGGTGAAAGTGGGCATCTCTCCGTTGGATTGTGGGGTTTTGTTTTCTTCAATAAACTTTTTCTGGGCTCTGTAAGTTCTTTCTAACAAACTTGTGTTATTACTTTTATTATTAGGAAAACGCATTTACCACCTGAGGAAATTATTCTTGGTTTACTTTTAGCATTACAAAGAAATGAGGACCACAGACTTCTACCTTCAAATTGGAAATAGCAACCTTATCAAACGGATACCGACAGCAGAGCATCTGTAAAGTTTCTGGATGCTGCTTCACGTTGGCTGGCTTCCTTCTAGATCATCTTGGTCTTTGGACATAATCAAGGTCTTTTATCTTGTTATAATTGATGATCTTGTTGATTTCACTTATATAAACAAATGTAATCTATGTGTTGTTTTGTTGACATCAGAGCTTCTGAAAGAGAATCTGAGGATGAATTCATGGAATAGTCTAAACTTTCATGTGACTACAGTTTGTATTCTTCAGCATCTGTTCATGAAATTGAGAGGAGGAAGAATGAGGTAGATGAGATTTCATGGAGAGGCAATGTGGTGGTGAGGGCTGCCTAAGACCTTTCAAAATGGGAAGTGTGTTTGTCTAAGGCAGCCAATGGTGGCATAATTGAAGGAAGGGCTTTGTTAGGTTGAATGGGGTCTAGAGTCACTGTCTGAAAAATGGTGCTTCATAACAGAATA